CCATCCAAAAAAGGTGCCAGAACTCCGTTCTGGGCGTTCTATGAGAAAAAAAGCCCTGGCTAAAAGCATTATTTGTAGTAGTATTGTTGCAAGTTACTACTTAAATTTTAAAATAAGGGGAAGGGGTGTCAAACCTGCTTGTAAAAATTATTTTCCTCCATTCTCAGATAAAGAAATATCTTTGCATAAATCTATCTTTTTCAGCCATGCTGTAATAAAAATTCTTCTATTAATTGAGCTATTATGGTTGTTACATCTTGAATTACAAACTAGCAATTTGCAAATAGTTAAATCAAACCATTATTAGTATAAGAATAAGCACCTTTTCGGATGGTGGACATATTTGGAGTTTTCAGTGCATTTTATAAAAGTTTTCACAAAAAAATATCATTAAGATATGTTCAAGAAATGGCTGTCATGGTTATGGCTAGTTAAAAATATTAAGGAATCAAAATTGTGGCTAATCCATTTCTCCTTTCTTTCCAGCATGCTGTGTGCAAGCTCCAACCTACCTTTGTCTATTTCTCTGGGCAAGTCATTATTTTAAATGTAATCTTTGCGAAGTCTGGGCATTTCCAAATAAAGCAGGGCTACAATAGCCACCAACTGTTTTAATATACTAAATACACTTGAAGGGACCTTACACCATACACTTGCTCTAAGCTGGCTCTATGCTTTATAGTATACCTGTTTTCCTTTTTATTAATTATTTAATTAATAGAATCTAAAAATAAAATTAGGGTCAGGTAGGGTAAGGTGCCAAGAAAGATCCTTGTCGGCATCACTCATTATCTCTGAATTAAGCCTGATAATATGAATCCACTTTTGCTATCACACAACATGTCTCACAGATGCAATAAGCCACAGTGAGTATTGTTTACTAATAAGTTTCAACTGTATTTTTCTTCTCCCCTACCCCCAGGGTTACCACTGTGATAAGTCATATCTAATATCTTTTATTTCAAATGAAAGAATTAAAGTTTCATTAAGCAATGTTCACCTCATCTTAAGAAATCCTCTGCCTCGCTTCCTGACTGTGTTCCTTAAGAAAAGAAAACCAAAGAGAAAAAAATGCATTTTCTATGGATAGGACAAACCTTTTAACATTTAACATTAACATTCCTTCTTGCAGGGGAATATTGTATAACTTTTAAGCATTTCTTGTGCATTTATTACAGGTTTTTTAAAATTAGCTTCATGTTTTAATACAATTACTATATTCTGGTCTATAAACCTATTCTGGTCTATAAGCCTATTTTATATTCTGGTCTATAAGCCTATATTTTGGTCTATAAGCCTTGGCAGACAAGTCAAGGAAGGAAGGAAGGAAGGAAGGAAGGAAGGAAGGAAGGAAGGAAGGAAGGAAGGAAGGAAGGAAGGAAAAAAATAAGCCATTCATCCATTCCCCTCTCTTGCTATTACATTAATGAAATAGCCTTAAAAATCAATCTAATTCTTATACAGGAATAAGTCTCAGTGAATTTAGCAATATTTATTTCTGAATAGATACATACAGGATTGTATTATTAAAATCTATTTTGAACAACACTGCTTATCATTTTGATAAGTTTTTATGAACTGCACACAATTTCACTTTATTATACAATCTGCAGCCAAAAATATTTCACTACAATATTAAATAGCTATGGTGGATGACTGATAAGCTATGAAAACTTTGCATTTGGAACTTGGAAGAGGACATATAGTAGCAATATAATCTATATCTATATATTCAGTGGTGGGATTCAAAAATGTGGACAACCGGTTCTCTGTGTGGATGCCGCTTCCGGAAGTCCATTCTGGGCCTGGGCAATAAAAAATTAGCTACCAGTTCTGCCGAAGTGGTGTAAATTGGCTGAATCCCACCACTTTCTATATTGGAATGAAGTGTGATATAATGATTGTGAGATTAGGCTGAGAAGATCATTTTTAGCCTCAAAAACTCAAAGGTATTACTTTGGGCTGTTTTTCAACCTACCTCATAAGCATGCTGTTGTGGGGATAAAACTAAGCAACATCCCCATAGAAAAAATCTTGAATTCTTGGAAAAAAGAGTATGATAGAATGAGGATAGAAATCAAATTTGGAAAATTTGAAAATAGATCCTTTCAAAATTCTGATGAAAACCTGTGATCAAAGCAGACTACTTTGATCAAAAAAAAAATTAATTGGCCATGTTACTCAAAACTTCTGTTGACAGTATAATTGATGACAATGCTAGAGATTGCAATTAAATTGTAGCTGCCACACCCTACCAGGCATGCAATATAGAATTTGTTCTTAGAAACTCACTTTTTCTTTCCTTCTTTCCCCCAATTCCCATCTCTTTTTAGTTTTTGATGGAGGAGGAAGAGAGATAATGCTTCCACGTACAATATTTAGAAAAGAAATATTGGATAGAGTAGATTATTGTTACACTGCTTCAAAAATTTTCAATTTGAATTAATCAATGAGTTTACTTTCACAATTTGAGTAGGTGTATCTATACATAGGAAGGAAATTTGTCATAGATTACATCAATTGGTCTTATTCTGAGGATACTTTGCTTTCCTCTCTAGTTCCTCTGTAATACTGTACTTACAATGGTTTGCCTGCTTAGGTCAAGTAAAAAAAATTGAGTTTTTGTTATACCCATTTTTTCTATTAAAGATGTGAGGCAATCTGCATCAGTACTTTTTCAGGAACAAGAGAATTTATGGCGTATGTGTATGCTATCTTTTTGAAAGGCTGACATATTAGAAAATTGTAAGCATTCTGTATATAATGTGTGCAAGCCACAATATTATTATACATAAATATATGGTCTTAGCAAAGGTTATATATATATGCTTTAGTTAACACTAATTAACATAAAGAGATTTAAATTAATTTTCATTTCCAGTTTTAACTCCTTTAAAGGACAATTAACTCTTTTTACACATGGGAAATTTCATTCTTTGGATAAACAAGTGCACCAAACAAAGAACAGCATTTAAAAGGCTGTATTCGGTTTTCCATTCTGAAGTTTGGTGAACAACCTACTAACATGACTGATTATATGCCATCAAGTCAGTGTTTATCTTAGAACTAAACAGATTTTCTCCATGACAATACGTCTATAACCAGGTCTTCCAGCAGTACATCCATCACTTCTATAATGGTATTCTTCTATCCTGCTGCTAGTTATCCTCTTCTCTTCCCTTCCATTTTTTCCCAGTATCAAAATTTTCTCTAGGGAGCTGGGTCTTTCAATCATGTGCCCCACTGACATTAACTGTTGCCTCACAGTTAGTTCTCAGATTCTAAATGTGACCCACCTAGCTATAATTTCAATAGATAGTGTTTTACTATATGTACAAATGCCATGATATCATGATATGTACAAGAGCCATGGTGGCACAGTGGTTAGAATGCAATACTGCAGGCTAATTCTGCCAACTGCCAGTAGTTTGATCCTGACCAGCTCAAACTTGACTCATCCTTCCATCCTTCCAAGGTCAGTAAAATGAGGACCCAGATTGTTGGGGACAATATGCTGACTCTCTAAACCCCTTAGACAGGGCTGTAAAGCACTGTGGAGCAGTATATAAGTCTAAGTGCTATTGCTATTGCTATTTTGGGCTTTATCAGTTCCCTACCACTTCACCAGGTTCCAGATCATAGATGTCCTCAAGGAGCTAGTGTTATGGTTCTGGCTAATGAAACACTTCAAAGAACTTCCAGGCATTTATTTTCCTAAAAGTCTTTTATTGTTGCAAAATGTCGGCACAGGCATAACGGACAGATGCTAAGATCTAAGTTCTCTTCCTCTGAGCAGTTAAATTATCAGCATGTTCCCTCCCTAAATTAGCTGTCATATATCACATTATCCAATTAGTGTGAAGGTCAAAGGTTTTCTTCCTCTTTCTTTCCCGGGCTTTACCCCCACCCCCCTTCTGCTCTGTATTAACCCCATAAATACCAGACAGTTCTACATATTGTCAAAAGCAAGAATATACAATATTTGCAGTGTTGACAGCTGGTATGAAAATTAGAAGACATGTGAATGTAAGCACTGTGGCATGAAAAGCATGATTTATGACAGGATATGAAAATGTAATTGTTGTGGTTTCTTAACAACCTTTGGTTAAAATTAATCTCCACTTAACATAATATACAAATCTTGGCTTACTTCCTATGTATTCACATGGAATTCACTGCATAGCTTGTTTACTTCTATTGAACCCTATGCTCTACAACAGTGGTTCTCAACCTGTGGGTCGGGACCCCATTTGGGGTCGAACAACCATTTCACGGGAGTCGTCAAACAAAGCAGTCCGCCATTTTTTCCCTTTTTCTTTCGCCACGCCCCTGGCACCCCGGTGATGTATAAGTGGTTGGGGGTCACCAGAACATGGGGAACTGTATTATGGGGTCGCGGCATTAGAAAGGTTGAGAACTACATGGCAGAGCTAAAATAGGTTACTGGTTATGATGTTTTTTGTAGCACTATCCAGAAGGAATCTAGAACATGTTCTGCATATTCTGTTACAAGTTCTTCTAGCTTTTTCTAAATTACATGAAAATGTTCAAGCCTTTAAAATTTAAAGTCACCTCAAAGTAGAAATTGTTAGATGCAAGGGAATGAAAAAGAATTTGAGCTCTCTGTTGTTGCACCAGAGAGCAGGCAGATTGTTCATTTTATTCATTTCATATCTTTTAAGATCATCATCATCATATTATTATAGAGAGCCAAAGATTATGGACTTCTGCAATAACAGATATTCCCAAGTATAGTGGAGGAAATTGGCAAATTTGGGCTGTGTAAAATAAAAGAAATTTTCTATTAACAAGATATTTGGATATTATTCATAGTTTACTTGGATACATTTGCCCTGATAAAAATTGAAATTTACATATTCTTAAATGTTACTGGTATTGCAATTATAGCATCACAATAAAGTATAGTAAAATATAGTGTGTAAAGTTTGACTAGAACTGGTAAGATTCAGGATCAAGTCTACTATAGCCATGGCACTCACCTGTGTTTAAGCCAACTAGTATCTGTGCAATCTCTTTCACAGAGCATGTATGCCACTTTAAATTCCTGTGAAAAGACAGGATGCAAAACCAAAAAATTATATATATATATAATATAATATATATATATTATATATATATATATGTATGTATGTATATATAAAAGCATTCTCTCTATTATCTTTTAGACATATAAATACAGTGGGCATTTCCGTGAAGTAAAATTCTCTTGAATTTTGTGTATTTACTTTTGATCAGGTATTTATAGGAATCTAATATCCATTGTGCTTAAGAGGCGAGAAACTGTAGCTATTGCTAAAAATACAAGTGATAGGAAATTAACTGCAGTTAAAATGACCTGACCTAAATCCAGTGAACATTTCTGGGGCTAGCACAGGATATATAATATATTCATAATGCCAGGTCAACAACAATTCAATGCAGATTATGTTAGTGATCTATTATTTATATTTTAGTGAAAAGGACATAATATTACCAGATAAGCAATAAATATATGATATGTAAAAATATCAACAAGTGATAAAAAAAAATCAGCACAGAGGCACTTGATCTTGCATGGATGAATCATATATGGTTGATGATGTTCAACTTTCACCTTTAGTTTTGGATTAGCTGCAACAAGATAGCAAAGTTTATAAATGCTGCATAAAGTTGCAATTCCAAATATGCTTTCTTAGATACAGTTTCTATTGAATTCAGTGAAATTTACTTTGAAATAAATATACTTAGGGCATAGATCTGAGGTACGAACAACAAAATGGAAATAGGTATATGAGGGAGGCTGCAGTTCTGCATTTAGAAGTATCTCTCTTTGAACTCAGATGGCATTTACTTCTGAGTAAACATGGCTAGGGTTCTTAGTTGTCTCCTGACTATCAGTCTATTTCAAATCTGTAGGGACAAATGCAGAAATTTTCTTTTCTCTCTTTAGTTATTTTAATTGAAGATATTGTACCCTCCAATAGCAGCCTATTTAAGACTCCATTATCTATGATTAATCTCTGTATTTCTAAAATTTCTTTATTCATTAAAGAAATCTTTCAGTCCCATTTGAAACTGTAGTGGGTTTTAAGATTATTCCGCTACAATTTAACTTGTCACTTTCTGTAAAGTTATATAGTTTTCATCGTCTCTGTTGTAAAGGGCACTGGGGCTACTAGGATGAGTGTCAAACGGTGGAAAGCGAGGCTATCTTAGACAGAGCCATCTGACGTGAGCTTCAAACCCTAGTCCCCGTTAACATTGCCCTCCATTCACCATTAAGGTAGTTTCGTATCTCTTATATGGGACGGTCCGATCAGGAAGGCTATATATGTCCAGAGGAATATTCAAATTTAACTGCTGGCATTCGACATGTATCACTTGGTCTATTGTTCATGTTGCTGCTGAAACACCTTTTAGTAAAACGGGGCAGAAAATAACTGATGAGGAAAACAGGAGACGGGCTCTGTAAGCATTTTCGTTCCTGCTTCTACGCACCCTCCCTTCACCCTCCTCTTCGGTCCCGCTTAGTAACCGAGAGTGCCAACCAATCCACAAACTGCCAGCCGGCTTCGCAGCCTTGCCATTGGCTACTTCTGTTGGAGACCTTTTAGCGAATCCCCGCGCTCGTTGCTTCTTCTCAGACAAAAGACAAGCGAGGGGGCTCTCGCAAACGGGGCTAACTAATCTGCACTCCCCCTCCCCCTTCCGACATTCACTTTCCTCCACCATCCAGCCGACCTGGCGTCCATCCTGGAAGCGAGCCAGAAACGGAATATGCAACTTTGCCTTTTCTTGAAATAAGAAGAGTGGAGAAGAAAAGTGGAAATGCACACATATATTCAACCGAGAAAAAAAACCCTCCCTACCAAATAATGCTGTTTCTCCAGATACTATAATAAAGCACGCAGGCCCTCTTCTGTTACAAAGAACTTGGAAGTTTTAACAATGTATCTAAAGCTGTTTGAATATCTGCTTAAACAACTAATCTCCACCTTGAGCATAAAAAGACATATGGACTTTAAAATACCTAAACTCTTTGCTTACTAATCCTAAACCAGTGGACATCTTCAAGGATAGCAACAAGCTGGTCCTGGAATTGAATTTTCTGACAACTTTATCATTGTTAAACTAAAGCAGATTCTCATCAAGTGACTTTGGCATAACCTTAGTGCAAAGTGAGGATATTGTCTAGATGATATGTTAAATCTCAGTTTCTAATTAGAAACCTAATTAAAATGACTGCAGATGTCATTGACTTTTCTCCATTTGTAAATAATGGGCACGATAGGCCAACACTTCCATCATGTATATTCTTTAAAAACATGAAGCAAAATAAATATACATGTACCAGATGTGACTGGGCAGATAATTCTTCCATATGATATCCTTATTACACACAAACAATCCTGCAAGGCTTGGCTATGGATCACAAATATTACAGTGAATAATCATCTCAATAATTCATATGTGCTGCAAGAAAATTGTGGTTATGGGAGATGGGGAACATTCTGATTCTCTATATACAAAAAATACATCACAAACATAATAGATGAAAGCAAGTGTTGTTACTACATTATTCTTCAGTACTTATAACCATTCTTCCAAATATTAATGCTTGGGCAATGTCATATGATCAAATCATGAACATGATAAGATTTTGAATATTTAAGGGACGCATCACCGAAAGTTAATAAACCTCAATATCTGAATGGGGAGAGCAAAGGAGCCATGGTCTCATCAACTTTATATATATATAAGGTCAAATTCTATGATGGAAAGGAATTTTAACTAGTGTAATGTGAACATATACTTTTTACATTTTGGGGAAATGAGTAACATATTCTGCCAACTAATCATACTTCTTGAATTTGACAACAATCCAAGCAGACAGCACCATTACAATGAGACACCAACTGTACATCTTCAGAGTAACCCAACTGATGACAATAAGATTTACTTTAAATAAGAATACAGCTCTGAGCAGTTGAATAGTCTGTAAGTCACCTGTCAGCTACACATTAACTTTAATCATAATTCTGAAGTACACTGACACACTGGTAGGAGTCCATGTGTTTGTAAGCCTGTATCACAAAGGTTTAAACATAATTTAACATAAATATTGTCAAATGACAATATTTTCATTTGACCATCCCTTGCTGTACACAGGACATACATTTGAACTTGCAGTTTGTTAGAAGTAAAAGAAATACCAACTGTTCAAAGCCGTTTCAACTTCAACTTCTACTATCACTAGTCATGAAAACCCAATTTACAGTGTACTTTCCCAAGTCTGTTTTTCCCTTTGAAAAGCCAACTTCCTTCTATTTATGCATGGAGATTTACTGTATACCTGTGTGAATTGTTACACAAGACTAGAATAAAATACACTTGAGTCCTAGTTTCAGTTTTGATAGTCATATTTACACCTAGTACTTAAGAATATTAAAGTGCTTAGTTATAAGCTTGATACCCAGTGGACAATTTTCACATTCTAAACTACCATATGTGTATCCTTCAAAGCTATTCATAAAGTACACGTCTAGAGTTTCCATATTTTACATCAGTCATTCAAATGATGGACTGTTGAGGGTGACCTATCATATATTATCAATACTATACACACATAAATCCATACTGAAATATTAAGCACATTCCAAGTTCTCCCTGCTCTTTGTATATATTTAAGAGTCATACAGTCACTAGTACAACAGAACAACCTCATCTGCAAATAGTCCCAGCCCCAGCTGCAGGCACACAACCCTAAATATTGTCTATATACCAACCGAAAATGCAGGAAATAGGTGGTGAAAGATAACCTACCATTTACTTTGCTATGCGTTGTCAAATCATGACAGAAATCAAGTGGATACTTTGGGGGGGGGGTTGCATCTTTTATGTGTCGTCTGAGAAGAAAATGGGGGGAAGCGGGAAGAAGTTCTCCTATCTCTGAATATTCTGGCAACTTTACCGCTGAGCACGGGGCTATACATTCAGCTGGCGCAGACGGGTGATGGAGGGGCATCTGTCGCCAGCTGCTCCAGCTGGAGGCATAGCTTCCTCGCATCACTGCCACTTGCACTATATATATATATATCTACATATGAAATCTCAAAAACAATTAGGGGTAAAACTGGAAGCCGACTCTCCCGCTCTCTAGCAGCTTTTGTTTCCTGGCACGGCCAGGGTACTTCACCAGAAGCAAAAAAAAAAAAAAAGGGAAAGAAGGAAGGAAGCCTTTCGGCTCAATATCTTATCCGAACACGAGCGAGTTAAACCTAGGGGGCGTGGTTTCGCTCTCGCTTTGCCCTCTCCTTTTCCCACCTCGGAGGCGGGGCTTATCCCCGGCATAGAGGCGGTTAGCGACGGTTGGGGCCCTGGGTGCCTCTTTAAAATGAAACTGGCCGGGGTTGGGAGTAGCCGAGCACCAAAGAGCGCGCGGGGGCTGAGGCTGGGCTTACGTGGAGCGAGAAGCCGGTCGGGAGCCGCTGCTTGCAGCAGTGGGCGCCGCCGAGCGCGGGACTTCGAGGGGGACGGAAGCGCCGCTGAACCGGCGGCGGTGGCGAGCTTTGCCCTGAAGGGGTAGAGAAGCGAGGCGTGTCGCTGGCTTTAGGGAACAACGGGAGGGTTTTGTTATTAATCGGCAAAGACCTGTCTTAAAACTTTGCTTTTTAAGAACAATCGCGCGCGGGCCCCCCCCCCCATCTTCTAACTGCCTCCAAGCAGCTCCGTTTTCCCAAATTTTGATCTCGCTCATCTTAAACATTATTTTTTGTCAACCCCCCCCCCAGATCTTTTATTTTGGATTTGCGAAAGAAGCTGAAATAAGCGGCTCCGTTCCCTCGAAGCAAAGGGGAAATTGGAAGAGGGGGAGGCATTTCTTTCGCTTCCTGAGAGGGGAGTGGTTTTCCTGAAGAGGGAAGCCATCGAGCTATTCTTAAGAAAGTTTCTTCTCTACCCGCCTCCCGGGTTTTTTTTGTGTGTGTATGTACATGCTTCGGGAGGCTAGGCTTTATTTCGTGCTGTGCCAGACTTTTTATTTTTTGAAAAAGTAAAGATCTGGCGAGAGAGCTCCGAGCGATCGTCGCCCACCTGCCTGTTTGTCACAATGTACAATACAGTGTGGGATATGGATCGCGATGATACGGACTGGAGGGAGGTGATGATGCCGTATTCCACCGAGCTGATATTCTATATCGAAATGGACCCTCCAGGTAAAAAACAGTTTTTAGTTTGTGTTCAGGTTTAGAGTCGCGGTAGGCTTCTTCTTTTTTTTTTTTTTTTCAGCGTCAGCCATCTGCAGAAGTTCATTGTTCTCTTTTCCCCAGTGGTGCAGGCTTTAGCTTTCCTTTCTGAAAGGGGGGGGGGGGGAGAGAAACCTATGCTTGAATGGAAGCCTGTAAACTTTGCTCTTATTCTATTGTGGTCACCGTTTTCAAAAGGCTATATTTTGTAAAGACGAAAAACACTCTAAATTCCAAAATCTAGGATATCCGCTTTTCCTGTCCTTCAAAGTTCTGTTTAGTGGATTTATTACCTACATTACACTGTAATTTAAGCTGCAACCTTTTTTTAAAAAAGAGTTGGTTGATGTGCCAGCTAACTAAATATTTAGTTGTAAACATTCAATACTGCTATTTTCTAATACTTTCTATTTCTAGTTTTCAATTCTATAATTGGGTGTTCTGGGGGGGGGGATCTAATCCTGTGCTTCTTTATTTGAAAATTTGTCCCACTAAGTTCAGTGGGCTTTTAAGACTAAGTAAGGATGCACATCATCAAGTTTAAGTATCTTAAAACGGTTAAAGGTATTATAATATTTAATGTGAATATTTCCATTGTTTGAGAAGTATTATTCTTACTTTGCTCTCACATAGTGGTTCTTTTGTGCCTAGGAAGGAATAAGATGTATGAGGAGCCAGAGGTTGGTTGACTCTCTGGTGATGTGTTTAGAAATATGATTATGAGAGTTTCACAGTTCTTGAAGCTTCTGCTTTGACGAAATCCTCAGTATGAAAAATGTATCTGTATACATTTTCTTAAACATCATTTTTGTTTAGGAAAAAACAATATTGAACTAAAAATTTTAAATAGAGAAACCATTCTTGCCATTACTTGGTATTATTGCTCATGGGGGGGTGCAGATGGGGTGGTCATATTGTAAAGCAAAAGTAATAACAGAAATCATCGTTGTGAAGCAGATGTAATAGCATTATACTTTAGACTTTAACCATGGTGATGATGCTTGTTTCTCCTTCATACATTTCTCTGGAGAAAAGCATTCATTAGGTTACTAAGAAAACTTAACTGTCTGAATGCATGTTAATAAGAGAATTTTCAGGTATCCAAAGTTTATAAAACTAGTGCTTCAATATTTCAGTGAGGTTTAAGCCTCTGATTCTTATAATCTGGGGTTTTTTAGAGTAATCTTCTAGATATTGAAAAACTATTACTGTGGTTCTTTCATTAATATAGTATTGTAGTCTCAGTGTTTGAGTCCCATTGAATTAAGAAGAATTTTCTTAAAAGTAATCATATGTAAAATTCTGCTGATCACTAAATCAAATGTGCTCAGTTTTCCCCTGTTTTCTTACATGCCATGAACTTTACAGGCTATTATCTTCATTTTATTAATATTTGGAATTTGGTAGGAGTTGTGGAACAGTATGGCAACCAAATTAGGTACTGTAGAAGTTTAGAGTAACTCAGATTGTTAAAACTCTATAGACATTTTTATTTTAAAACTTTATTTTTAATATATCTTTCAATTTCAGTTAAATCTCACTTTTTCAATGAGATCACATCACAATGCATAACTGAGATCTGCAAATGCATTTAAGTAATCCAACAAAGCTAAAATTCATTGTAAAGCTAGACTGTTACCGGTACATTTATATAGTCTTTCTAGGATATACGGTAAGCTTTTATAACTTAGAGAGAAAAAAAAGTTGTATTTCTTTGAAATAAAATGCAAATGAAGCAGATTCTGCATGGGATAATTTTGCAATGTTCACTCCAACTTTAAGATGTCTTAAGGATAATACAAGTTTAGATAGCAGAATGTAACAGCTGGTAATGGAGGGTGACATTAAAGTACTAGTTATAAGTTCATATTTTTAGCTGTGAGCAGGTAATGCTGCTTCTAAGAATAGAGCAAGCAAATGATTAGAGTCCTCCTTATTCCTACCCAAATTTTGATGCTTCATCAGACATTTATCTTGTTTCTTTAAATCCATGAGAACAAGTAACTTGTTCCATGGGTTTTAAAGAAATTGTGTTCTCTGCAAGAGCCATCTGTATGCAGCAATCCTATGACTGTGTGAAACAACATGGTTCTTTACTGTACTTGTTATGTTTGGTAACTATAGATAGATTGTTGCAGTTCTGATAGGCAGCAGTTCTGATAGGCAGCATGATATATCTGTACCTATAGGTGTATTCTTAATGTCCCTCAAGTCCTGGTGCTCTCTGAATTTTTTAAACTGTTTTAATTAAAAATGGGAAGCTGGCACACTGTAATGTGAAGCTCCAACCTATGGCATCATATTTGTTTAGAATAATTTCTCTGAGCTCCTCACAGGCCTAGTAGCTATTCAGAAGACTAATAAAAATGATAGATACTACAGCTCAGTGTTTTGTTTGGAAGTTTGCTCACCTGTTCAGAAAAAAAAGACAAAGGTAAATTGGAGGGGTAGAGAACATTCTGGGGGATAGGGGAATAGGAGTGTGGAGAGCAACTTCATTTCTTTCTGTTCTGGTAAAATATATGTTGTGTGGCTGGTTATGAACACTGTTACAGCTATTTAATGAATAGACAAACTCCCCATCCCCATGTCAATCATTTTGTGAATATATATAATATGCTGTCAGAAATTTAAATATTTTTCTCAAAAAGTTCATTATGATCAAATTATTCAGAAAATAATATTGGAAGTAATCATAATAACTATTTGTGAGAATAGGATATTTGTCTGTTAATAATCCTTTAAAACATACGTGTTGAATCTTTTAAAATTAAGACTTTTTAAAGCACAATTTAAACTGATTAATGCAGCACATAAGTGGAGAACAGAGATACACTGAGTAATTTCACCCCTGATGTCTTGGTTAATTAATTGTTCCTCTGATACCTGCATGTATGATGTAATCATGAAAACTAGAAAAAGCCATATTAGAGGTAGAGTACTCGAAATGACCCCATTTCTCTGCTTAATCATTGCCTTCCACTTCAAATAATGCCTGACTAGGGCTTTATTGGCTTTACATTCTTACAGCTAAGACAACTTCATCTTTTTTTAAAACAAATTTATTATAATGCTCATTGTTGTTTCTTCTACCGCACTGTACAAATTGTTTGTCAAACGCAGAACTGAAAACATATAGGCCCAATAGTAGTAGTTTCCAAGATTTTTCTAATAGGTGAAAACTGTTGTGTATTTTAATTGAAGATTTTGGAGATGTACAAGAAATCAATGCATCTAGTCCTGATAGAGAAGCTCCACTCATTTCAGTGGACTAAAAAATGCATAACTTCAGAACAGCAGTCTGCATTGCTGATGACATAATTTACTTGTTTACAAAAGTGGTATGCCTTTTCAAATACTGACACTAAACAGCTTCCTACAATACAATGAAGTAAATTCAGTAGAATATAAACTAATAATTATTGAATGAGAAGATCAATTATCAATATCAAAAAGTAACAAAACCTGTTATAAAAATTCACCAGGTAACACACTTATAATTTAAACATAGCATAAAGCTTATTCCATAAAAACTATGAAACAGCAGTATTTTAACTTCCTGAATTTTAACAGGAAGGGAGCCATTATAATTTCAAAAGTGGAAGGCAAAATGTTCCAGATGTTGAAGGCCATCTCAAAGGAGTATCGTTTTTTGGGAACTTATCTTACCTCTTTCCCAAATGGCAGGGTATTATCATTTCAAATCCGCTTGTTGAAATAGAATGAGCAGATTTTACATGGTGTCAAAAAAGCCCAGGACTGAAGACTATATAAGACACTAGACAATCCATGACCCATTAGATCATCTTTTCAGAGATATTTCCTTATCTAAATAGAGAAACAGAATATGGAGAAGAAAAAACAATGGGAGGGGGGGGAAAAGCAGTGGGAGTGGGAGCCACTTTTGACTTCTTGCTAACCTGACTGCAGCTGACTGCCCT